GGGTTCATCTAAATCCCTGTCGTTGAAAAAATTACACGATATACATAGGATCACTTTTTCGATTTATATGTATATATTTAGTGATGAATCCCCTGAACATAAGCCAAGGAATTGGCTCCACGATAAAGGGTATTCAAGAATTCATTTTTATTTCTAAATAAATGAAAAGATATTTTCTCTGAAAATCTATTGGAATTTATAACATTTTATTAGATATTAAAAATAAATTTCTTTTCTATTTTTATAAAATTAAGTAATACTTATTTTTTAAGTTTTCATAATCAAAATTAGAAAAATACATCATTTTCAGTCAAACGTTTAATTTATATTTGATTAATAAATAATATAATTATAAGTAAGATTAAATCAATAAGAGTAATTATTTAAAATTTATATATAAATACGATTGTCGCGATATTTTCTAATCTTGATAATTATTTTCTCGACACAAATTCTATTGCTACAATATGATCGGATTCAAAATGATTTCTTTGGTAGTTTCAATTTATTATTTGGGTTGAGGTGGAGTTGAATTTTTTTAGTTGCTTATATCTTATTCGACCCATTTATATTTGAACCGTCCCGTTTTTATGGTTACTATTATCGTGCTTAATTATTATTTTAAATCCTTGATGAAAATTCTGGCTCCGCCACCAATATTATGTATGTCGTAATAAATTCTCATAAGAAAACTTACGGTGAAAATCTTAGTAAGTAGTAGCTTTGTCCCAAAAATTGCAATTTAAGAGAAGAATGAATAATTTTCCAATAATTCCCTCATATTTTTACTATAGAAAAAAATGATTTTCTGAATATCAACAAAAAGAACACAAGAAGAAGAAAAAAAAATTAAAGACAACAAGACGCGGAGCTTCTTTGTTGATACTATTTTGTTCCAAATAATTAAGACTTTCAAGTAAGGTTGTTTATCATTCGGTTTTGAGGGTATATACATGCTAAACTGTTATAAAATTGTTAAAATATGGTTAATTGGTAATCGATTATTGATAGTGAACGGTCTAGTTATCGACAAGGTAGCAGAATTAAGGATATAGATCTTGCGTAGGAAGATGTATATTTTTTTACTATACAGGAAGAATTAAGAATGTGGGATTATAACAATCCGTGGAACTAAATTGATATCTCAACAATGGTTAGGGATTTACTGTGGTGGTAACCATTAAATTCAACATATGTCATGTGTCACCAATCGAATATTAATGGTCATCGGGGTGATAGTATGGATAAAGTGACCTCGTTAACGGAACACAACTGATCATTAGATTGAGGCTCAGCTGATTTCATGGCAAGTCTCCCAATAGAAAATGCAGGTTGTGATGGCTGTGGAAGTGTTTTAGTGTTGTTTTCCAGCATAAAAACTACAGAGGACATGGTAGGTCTATCTGCTGGGTCTTGTTGAACGCAGAGTAGTCCGATATGGATGCATTTTGTTATCTCAGTTGTCACACAGGACTGCGATAAGCAAGGGTCCATTAGCTCTAATCCATGCTCTTCACGCCACAACTTCCACGCCTGAATTATCAACATAGTTTTAGTAGGTTGTATGTATGTTGAAATTGATATAATAACCAAAAGTTAAAAAAAATGGAGAAGAAATATGCTTACAAAATTAAGGAGACTCTGACCATATTCGGAAACATAGCTATTGTTCTTCCTTCCACTTACTATCTCAAGCAACAGAACACCAAAGCTGAACACATCTGATTTAGTAGAAAAAAGTCCCTCCATAGCATACTCAGGAGCCATATATCCACTGCAAAAATGGCAAAAGTAAAAAATGGTTCTTAGCATCAATCTTACTGTACCAATAGATTTTTTGCATTTTTTCATGATCTTACTAGGTTCCAACAACTCTATTTGTATTGGCTTCTCTTTGATTTCCGCTAAACATCTTTGCCATTCCAAAGTCTGATATCTTGGCGTTCATATCTTTGTCCAGTAAAACATTGCTTGCTTTTAGGTCCCTATGAATGATTCTTAGTCGAGAATCCTCGTGTAGATACAGAATGCCCTTTGCTATTCCTTTAATAATGTGGAGACGTTGTCTCCAATCCAGAATCTTGTTTTCTCTTGATTCTATAGAAAGAAAAAAAAATTATGTAGTTAGTAAATTAGTTGCTTCTTTGTAGTATACTAATATGCCAAATTAGTCAAGGCCAAACCAAAAATGAAGAAGTCCAGGCTTTTGTTGGGCATGAACTCATAGATAAGCAGTGCTTCGATTCCCTCTAAACAGCAACCCAAGAGCCTCACGAGATTTCTGTGTTGTAATCTGGCAATTAAGACAACTTCATTCTTGAACTCTTTCAGTCCCTGACCGGACGTTCTAGACAGCCTTTTGATTGCAATTGTTATGCCATATGGTAGTGTACCCTGGAATGATATACACAACATTCTAAATAACTTAGAATTTCATGGAAAAATTGACCCCCTCTACAGACTAGATTCACTAGTAATTAGACTAAGACTTAAGGACTTCCTAGATCATGATGAATGATAGGAATTATTACCTTGTACACAGGACCAAATCCACCTTCTCCAAGCTTGTTTTCTTCAGAAAAATTTTGCGTAGCTGCTCGAATGAGGTCTAGTTTTACAACTGGAAACTCTCTGGATCTCCCCTTCTTTTCTGAGCCAAAATCATCATTCTCATCAAGTGTTTCTCCTATTATGTCAAGCAATTGAAGTTCTTGACTGTTCTCATTCCTCTCTGTAAAGATTCAACTTTTGATTGGTTAGCTGAAACTATTAGTTTCTTTTCAATCCAAAATGTCAAAGGAAAATTTACCTTTCTCTATTCGTCTTCGTCTTTTTAGAAGGTAAAACCAAGTTCCTGCCAGTACAACAGCTAAAATTGCTAGTGTAACACCTGTAATGATACTAATAAGCTTTGTCTTTGAAGTATTTTTGCCTGAAAAGAAACAGTTGATCAATTAAAAGCTGAATTCAACTATTACTTCGTGATGTGTTAAAAGTATGTGTGACTATCTTATCTACAAGTTGGAGAAATTATATTTGATACATGCATACTAATCATTCAGCTATAACTCTATTAGTAGATGATTTTCTTTGAGAGTATGCGCCAAAAACTTAAACGACAAACATTTGATGTGGACCATGTATTATATGATTATGATTAAAAAGCTTTTAATATACATTTAAAGTGATTAGTTTCATGTGAGAAACAGTACCTCCATATAGATTTCTGGGAAATTTGGCTTCAGAGTAAAATTAAAGCATGTAATTAACTTATAGAAGATCGCACACCTTGGTCTTCGTTGCCCTGGCTGGTCAATGGCGGTAAACTGGCGAGGAGTTGATATATTTCGTACCTTAAGTTGCAGCTTGCATGAAGAACTCTGCCTCCTGTTGGTATTTTGGTGTCAAAAAGTGTGATACTCATTTGAGACAAAGCGGCGTTCAGGCAAGTGACACAATCTGCAGCTGACAAATCAGGTAGACACTGCACCATGCCATACAGTCTTTGAAAATCGTTAATTTCATCAGAATTGTCAGCATATTTCAGATTCAGATTGATGGTAATAGCTTGAGTGATGACATTATCAAACATCGCACTCAAATTCCCCATGAACCGTTCTGGCTGTGAAACATTTTGTGTGTCATACAGGATCTTAGAAATCGAGCTGTCTAATATTGACGCGAAAGATACATTAGAGTAGCGGACCAGACATTCATCAAACCATATAATTGCCTGTTTCTTGAGCGGACATTCACTTAGTATCCGCTCTATTGCCTCATCTATGCAATTTTTGCAGTCTTTAGTTACAACATCTCCTCTACAGAGGAATACTCCATAAACTTTATCAAGATCTTCTCCTTCACTTGCTTTTGTATAGATGGAATTGCTACTATTATTGTACAGCAAACGGTTAAGATTTGATTGGAATTTGCTTCCTTCTGTATAATTATTGGGCATCGAACAATCGTAGTATAAGGGATTCATCTGCATCTGTGCTTTGACACCCACAAGCAGTACTGAATGGAGCAACAAAATCAGAATTAATGTTTGGTTACTGCACAAACACGAAACTAGAACCAACGCCATTCTTGACTAAAACAACTTGCTGTTGAATTACGTCCAAAGTAATCAAAATGATAGGAGAAGAAGATGAATCTGCTAGATACCACAAGTTTGATTTTTCATGAAAATAATTTTCCCATAACAGTTTCCCTTCCATCCTTCCTACCAAAAGTCATTTGACTTTGTCAATGTCAAACTAATTACAAGGAGTAATTGGTCTACACTGAATGTGACAGCTGAAACAAACCCAATTTTTCAACAGAAATATCCAAACGATAAATCAAATTACAACGACAAAACCTGACTTACAAGGAGAAGTACTGAAATATTCTAGAGTAGTTCAGAATTTTCATAAGTAAATTTGAGGAAGCGGACATCTATTGAATGAAAGATGCTTGTAACTATTGAGTTATAGCGGAAAACTTACAAGTTATTCCACGTGAAAAAGTGTTATTCAAATTACATCTTTTAAATACACAACTTATGGAAATTAAAGTTCGTTTGTTCCTCAAATGTATATCTAGTGTATGCTTTTACCATTGAGGAAGTTTAAACTCGTTCTAAGATCTAAACCGCCCAAGAATTTCCAAGAGTTCCACTTCAAAATTTTATTTATGTTTACATGGTGATTTTGATTATTCATATAAACAATTACTACTCACTTCTGGAGGCTAAGGAAAACACAAGTTTAGTTTGTAGCGTCCGTCTATGCCAATTAGATATTGTGGACTTATTATTAATTAAGCAAGTTCATTATTTCTAACTTAATGAAATGTTCCTAACTCCAGATTGATAGGAAAAATGCATTTATAACTCTATGTCGCATGCGCAAGGTAGACATTTCAAGATCAACGATCGTTCATAAAACCATGTTTGATTTTAATTTCGAAACAATCTTCATTCGTTGGGTATATTATTCCAAATCATATCAAAGTACTTCGAGAAAATGAAAGAGTCTTATTGTGTAGAGTTCATGAATGAGACCCGACTTTATGTATAAAATCCTTCAAACAGACTCTTACAAAGCACTTTTTCAATACTCTCCTCCAACCTAATTTGACGGGACAATATCATTAGATTTGACATAAATTTAAAGAACATAAAGAAATAAAGAAATAGAAATTTGTCGTCTAAAACAATTTTGAGACCACGTACTGACTCGCGGTTCAGAACTACTGTTTTTTGGCTAGCAAGTAACTAAATGGAGGTTTACAATATTTCCCGTGTAGAAACATGCTAGCCATAGTCTTATACATGGCTTCGGTAAGATGAACACCATCCCAGTTAATATACTGAGATGGATCCGGACAAGAGCTTGCAGAAGGAGAACCACAAGTACTGAATATATCGAAGTTTAAACTTCCGCCACCAGCGCCACAACAACTTTTGAACACCTCTTTAAAGCCATTCTTGTTTGGATTTCTCACAACTGTGCTGTATGCATTCCAGTAGTCTGCATAAACAATGACAGTTTGTGGGAACTGCTTTCTGAATGAATCTAATTGGGCTTGGATGATGCTGTTGTGGAGGATGCTGTGCTTGTTTGCACTTCCCACACATCCCATGGCATCTCTGTCTGTGTCAGGTGCCAGATACATGGACAGTGTTAAGCAACCTGTTGGTGGAAGACCTTGAACAAGTACATATTTTGCTCCCTTGTTCAATAATGCCTGTATATGAACCATTCAAATATGATATTTTACTCAAAAGTACAGAGGCGTGTTGAGGTGTGTGACTCACCACTTAAAAGAAAGACATTAATTAAAGTGTCATTTGTCAATATCATCTTTTTGATTCTTCTCAAACTGTTCTTTAAAGCGGAGATAGTCATTATTTGTGTTTTAAAAGTAGTTGAAAACTCAAGGGGAAATAATTAATACCCTCTGTCCCAATTTATGTGACACTATGTTTGTTTTGAGAGTCAAATAATTTAAGTTTGATCGATAATTTGAACATGAAATTTTTAAATTTTTTTAAAATGAAATTTATATATTTGTAAACTACATAAAAAGTAATATGAGTCACAATAATTGATAATCCAAAAAGTTCATAAGATCTATAAAAAAAATTACGGTCAAAGATAGACTTGTTTGAATCTTGAAATCCGAAAAGTGATATATAAAATGAAACGAAGGTAGTAATACATTCTTGAACTTTGATAAATTCATTAATTTTTGGATCATAAAAAGACTGTATTCATTCAAAAAAAATTTAGAGATGGACATGCTAAAGACAACAACAATAGACGTAATGCATAAAAATGTTCTCTTTTAACTTTGATTTCTGTTAATATTTATGTCCCTTCAATTTTTAATGTGTACAAATAGACACTTAAACTTATATAAAATTGAATAAATAACACATACATCCTACCTGATAATTTATATGAGATATATTCGAACTGATTTGTATTTGTCTAGTTGTTCATGCCGGACCCATATTATATCATATAGAATGAGTGTGTTTATTTCTCTAACTTTATACAAATTTAAGTGTACATTTATTTATCCAAAATTAAAGAATATAAATGTTACTCCGTTACACCAACTTAAAAGGCATAACAATAAGTGTAGTTACACAACTGTGCGGTGGGATGTGGACATGCTAAGAGTACGTAATAATACAAAATGAACGAATAAACCAACTATGAGTGAGGTACAAAATGAATGAATAAAAACTAAAACAAACTTGAATTTTCTTTTTGTCGGTGCAACATTAAGGTGTGAAAAGTTCATCGATGGATGCATTGTTGCACTACTGAATTGAATGCTTATATGATTAGAAATATTTATGATAGTACTAATTACCTGTAAAAAACCAGTGAAACTTCTGGTAGCAAGCCGTTGAATCGTGTTGGGTGAAACAGTAGATGCAAAGCTATACGCATAGTCATTAGCCCCAATTTCACCCACCCAAAACAGAGCATCACTAAACAACGCCTCGCACTGCTGCGGCGTCGATGTAGAATTCACACAACCTTTGCTCTCTAAAAACCTGTTAAACCACGTGAGCTGCGTTTGAAGCGATTGTGGAGTCACATTCAAAGTGATATTGTTCTTCACAAAAAATCTGTGCCTTATAGCAGTAGAACCAGCTACAGCAAAATTAACACCATAAGTTTTATCCGCTTTCAGATCTCGATAAGGCGGTAAAAACGGCAACGACAGTGATTCCGCTACGAAATCGATGACTAATCGACCGTCGGAGTATCTGTTTGTTGGATGGTGAAAAAATGTGTTGCCGTAAGGTGGATTTGATACGTAATTGAAAGAGCTAGGGCCAGTGGCTGAGTGTGTGTTGCCTGTGTCTGTATAGGAATCCCCAAATGCATAGATTTTTTTGAATTTTTTGGGAGTGAAAGCAGAGGAGATTAGTGAAGGGGAAAAGATCAGTGTTATGGTGAATATGATGAGGGTGATTTTCAAAGGGATCACTACTCTAGAGAAAATAGCCATGGCCTCACACCTCAAAGACTACTTTATTAGTTGTGAACTTTGGGGGAAGTCTGAGTGGTTTATATAGATATAATGCATGTCTTATTTTATTTTCACGTCGGACATATTTGATATTCATATTGAAGCTCGATTAATTTGAATTCATATTATGTAAAGTTTTATTTAAATATTTGGAGAAAACTACTATTAGCCAAAAAAAAGATACATGTCTTGTTTTATTTTCATGGCAGATGTTCATATTGAAGCTCGATTAATTTGAATTCACACTATGTACAGTTTTATTTAAATATTTGGAGAAACTATTATTAGCCAAAAAAATAATAAATGAAACTTGAATAAGAAACCTCTAATTAAAAAAAAAGAAATTATATTGTAGTTCTTTATTGTGCTAATTAAAGAGAGGACAATAATTGTATAATACTTTATTATGCTAAACGAAAGAATGTAAATAAAAAGAAAGAAATGAAGTCCCCTTATATTTATACATTACTCTCTCTATCCATTTGATGTGGTATTTGTTTGACTAAGCAGAAAGTTTAAAAAAAATGAAATTTATAAAATTAGTCACGATAAATAATGTTATATCGTTAAACGTAAAAATAAAAAATTTTAGTGTTAAAATATTTTTTAAATATAAGATCATATCATTTGTTTTTGGATTAAATTTTACATTTATCAGATAAACTAAGTATAAATGTAGTAGTTAAACATCACTATGTGTACAAAGAGGGAAATGAGAGGGAGAGAGAGAGACGTGGAAGGATGGAGCGGGCAGATGCATGCATAAATGTTTCTATACACGATTCTAAATTGTCGTAGCAATAGAATGAGATGAATTTACTTATTTTTTTAATCAATCAAATACTTTTTTTTCACTCGGTTCAATTTATATTATACTTCGATTAAATTTTGATCTTACACTGATCCATTCTTGAGGTGGTCCCAATAAGATTTTTTTTCATATTCATGACTCAAACTCGAAAACTCTGGTTAAGAATGAAGCAGTCTCATCATTACAATATAATATTAACGATAGTATTCAGCAAAAAGATCTTTACGTATCATATTTCATCTACTAAACAAAACAAAAAGTATGACATGTAGTATTTATTATTACACATGGTTTATGAATATTGTAGTATTTTGTATTTTCTAATCATATGACCCATACTTTCCAAAAACAAGTTAATGAAGGTAAGACCAAACTCTAGAAGAAGAGGATGGGAAGTGGTAGAGAACACAATTAAGTTTTGCGTAAATAAGAGGTTGGTGGGGATTAGAAAACGCTGAATTTATGAGAAAATATGTATGGAAGTTAGTTAGTAGTTGGAGAAAATAGTGGGGATTTCATATAAACCTTTAAATGCAACAATAAATTCAACACCAACCGATGATTTTATTGGATGGTAAAATTAGTTGAGTGCACAAATTAGAAAGGAACAATAGATTTGGACAAATTAAAGCTTATTCTTAGTAGCAAAAACTATTGAGGCAATTACTCCATGTACTGAGATGCACGTAAAGTACTTATCAGTATTGACTAATGACTACCTTGATTTCTTGCGCTAAGCTTTTTGTTTCAGTGCCAAAATATTTTATTTCTCTAAAAATTTGTAACTTTTGATCTTTTATTATAAATTGTGATTTAATTTAGGGATAATTGTATATAATAGCAAACTAATAATATAAAATAAATGGAGTAGCTACGGTTTGATTTAATTGTGCTCCATAGCAAACGTTAGCCAACGTTTGTCAGTCCCATCTCTCCCAAAAATCTCGCTCGCCACTCTCCCATTCTCCCTCTGCTCGCCTCTCTCGCTTTATACACAGAAGTGTATAAATTGTGTTTCTGTTTTGTATAAAGCGAGAGAAAATTGTATATACACATGCAAAAACATATATCTTCGTGTTATACGCTTAATTATACAATTTACAAAAAATGTACTTCAATTCAATTGTAGACAAATGCAAATTTTATACAAATATTGTAGCGAAAAAGGCCAACGAATTATACAATTGCAGTGAAATACAATTTTTCTCTTGCTTTATACAACAGAAGTGTATAAATTGTGTTTCTGTTTTTGTATAAAGCGACAAAAAAACATATATCTTCTTCCTATACACTTATAATTATGCAATATACATACAATTATGCAATCTTTGCTATAACATACAAATGTGAATTTTTTGTTTGCTATATGTAAAAGTTATCCATTAATTTATGGGTAACCAAGCACGTGGCAGTAGCCCATCAACGTACAAACACCGCCTTTGAGTGCTGCATGACTTTCTTAAAATTGTGTATATAGTATCTATGTATCCAAAAATAATACGCAATGGTGTATTCAATGATACGTTTTGTGCATATCGTATATCAATTTCCTCTGGTATATTTCAATATCAATTTCACGTATTCGACATAAAATACATTAATATATTCAGTGAATCTGTGCTTAGTATATATCCGGTGTATACGTGCATGAGTGTGCATTGCTTTTGAGAGGACATTGATGTATTCATTGTATTTGTGCATGAACACATCGATCTAGTATTAAATTTGTGATGTATCCATTATATACATACTTAAAAAGATGAATGTAAAGATATAATTATCCTTTCACATACGTTTGGTGTAATTTTGTCTTAATCAATGGTCATTTAATGACTATAAGGATGGTGGTGGGAGTACATAATAGGTTATTATTTATTCTTGACTAGAAATTTTATATTCGAAATTTTTAAGATACAAAATAAATTTTATGAGTAAGTATTTTATATTACAAGGTAAAACTTTTTGACCCAAACAATTGGCGAGAAATGAAAAAATAATAATACAATGATAATTCTTTACCTTATATCTTCTAAAACTTTAGTTACTCGGTCTTATCCATAATATATATTTTCTCATCACAAAGTTAGAAGTTTCGTTACACATTATTTGTAATGGTTAAACTCTTCTTCTCCTCCTTATTCTACTTCTTCTTTTTTCTCTTTTATGTTTCTGGTTTTTATTCCTTCTTCTTCCATAATCAATTATACATTAAAATTTTAATGTGTTCAAAAGTGAATCATTTCTAACGAATTATACATCAAAAAATTCAAAATATCGAATTTTACACCTAAAAACTGAGAATAGAAACTAGTTAGATTAGATTTTAAAGTGGTTGGGAGTAGACAAAATTAAGTAAAAGTACTTGCAATACAATCATTTTTGTTTTCGAAATCACATGATTTTTCATAATCAATCTACCCTTTGACTCTTTCTTATCTTTTTTCCTTCTTCCTTAATTAGCCTAATAAATGTTCGGAATAAAAAAATTAGTTTGATAAATAGGTAATGTATACTTCATGTATAGTTAAGATATATTCAATTTTTTGAGTATATCATAGTGTATAATCAGTGTATATCCATGTGTAAGTAAGTTATATTTAACCTTTGAGTATATAATGAATAATCGGTATATACTTTTTATGACTTCTGACTGCTTTAATGTGAATAAATATAGAAAAAATTATATAAATACTATTAGTTTAGGAGTTAATTACTTAGATATACTTTAGTTTGCAATATTGAATATATTACTAGATTTTGATGCGTTAAGATACATTTACATACATCCATATATATCATATATGTCAAGTATACACGAGGGTAAAATTAGGTATACTTTATTCAAGATACATTATATCTAAGTGAATTCACATGTATTTAAGATACATAACAATTTGATTGCTCGCCTCCCTCGCTTCTCTCCTATCTTGTCTATTATTCTCCTATGTATATGGTATCCTAGATATATGCGAGTTACATGATATACATATATGTGGGATACATAACGAATCTCGCTTGCTAGACTCTATCCCTATTATAATGTATCTGGTATCAAAAATACATATAGCTAAGTATATGTCCCTTAATATATGATATAAAACTCTTAATTAGTAACAAACTAAATACATGATATTTTAAAAGTAATACATCAATATATCCGATTGTGAAATATGTATGATTACATAATTTTGCCATAAAAGATGACTATATTTGTCCTAAACATTTCAATTTAAATTTAGTCTAATCTCACATACCATAAGAAAAAAAAGGTTGATTCAAAAGGGAAAAAGTTGGATCTAAAATTTGTTCAAACATCAAACTAGCCCACAAATGATGGTGGGCCCACAATCTTATTTTGTAGACAATCATATTTTCTTACCTCACAAATCAACCAATAATAATCCTTTATAAGATGACTTAAGTTCAAATTGTTGACAAATGTTGTTTTAAACAAGTCAAAACGAGTGAAATTTTTGAATAAAAATGGACCAAAAAACACAGGGCAATACTTTACTTCCTTAATCTACGCGTTTAAGAGAAAAGTGAGAAAAATACTGAAAAGGAAAGTGAGAAGAAAATGAAAAACCAAAACATGACATTTTCATCGATTCATTTCATTTCCTATTATTAGATCTGAAGGCGTTTGAATTCAATTTGAACTTACTTTAGGGTTCTATCAAAAAAGATAAGTTGATTGGTTCGTAGAGCCCTAGGGTTTTGTTCTTTTTTTTTTTTGGGAAGATGGCGAGGGTTTACGAGAATTGGGATAGGCTTGTACGAGCTACGTTACGGAGGGAGCAGCTCCGGCAGACCGGTCCCGGACACGGAAGGACACCTAGTGGTATAGCAGGTTCTGTTCCCGATTCGCTTCAGCGGACTACCAACATTAATGCGATTCTTCAAGCGGCTGATGAGATACAGGATGAAGATCCCAATGTGGCCAGAATTTGTAAGTTAAACGTGTATTTCAGCGTTGTTTTATGATTATCTTAAGCTTTTTATTTTTTTTGTCTTTTCTATTGATTTGTTGTAGTTACTTATTTGTATTGTGAATGTGGAAGTTCCTATTGTTCATTAAGAGTGTTTGGTTTTCTATTACATAACAGAAACACAATTTTCTATACACCTGGAACTTCATTGGTGCATAAAAAGAAACTAGGGAAGTGATATGACCCACATGTGTGCTAGTTGGGGCAACATCCGCAAATATGTTGTTCTTCTCCTTCACTGAGTAC